ACACACACACACACACACACACACACACACACACACACCACACACACACACACACACACCACACACACACACACACACACACACACACACACACACACACACACACACACACACCAAACACACATCCACGCGCAGTATCTTCTACGCACCTGATTCAGTTAGAAAGAAAAGGATGGTGCCGAAAAGGCAACTAAAATTCCCAAAGAAAAGAGGAGAGTTCTTTCGAGACAAAGAAGAGTGCGCTGACTCAGCGGTCGGTCAGAGGCAATTGAGGCTGGCTATGCTGCGCTGTAAGTAGCTACTCTCGTGTAAGTACTGGAACCCATAGAGACGAGAAATATTCTGAGAAGGCAGAGGAAAGAAATAAGGCTGTAGGGCAGGGGTTCCCAGCCTGGGGGCCATGGGGGACTTAGTAGGGGGCATGGGGTACCATGGGGTACTTAGTAGGGGGCCATGGGGTATTAGTTAGGGCCATGGGGTACTTAGTAGGGGGCCATGGGGGAGGAGGGAGGGTACTTAGGTAGGGGGCCATGGACCATTGGGTATAGTAGGAGGCCATGGGTAACTTAGTAGGGGGCCATAGGGGCTTAGAAGAGGCCATGGGTACTTAGTAGGGGCCCATGGGAGTACTTAGTAGGGCCAATGGAGAGAGGGTACTTAGTAGGGGCCATGGAGGGACTTAGTAGGGGGCCCAAAAGGAGAGAGAAGCCCCCAACCAGCCCCAGGATCCCCAGACGCCATTGGAGAAAGAGACTGGGAGAGCCCCACAGGACCCCCACCCACCGCCCCCCCCCCCAGAGACCGGACCACAAGAGCCCCCCCAGGAACCAACATACAGCAACACCCCCAAGCATGGGGTATAGTAGGGGCCATGAGGGTATTTTTTTTAGCGGGGCCATGGGCGGGTACTTAGTATGGGGGCCATGAGGGTACTTAGGTAGGGGCCATGGCGGTACTTGGTCTCGCCGGGGCCATGGCACGGGGTACTTACTAGGCGTGGCCATGGGGGTACTTAGTAGGGGCCATGGAGGGGTACTTAGCAGGGGCGGGAATGGGGTACCTGTAGTTAGGGGCCATGGGTATTTTTTTAGGGGCCATTGGGTACTTACTTAGCGGGGCCATGGCAGTACGTAGTAGGGGGCCATTGGGCTAGTACTTAGTAGGTCTTTTGTTATAACTATAGTAGTGGAGGCCATGGGGTACTAGTAGGGGCCATGGCTTGGTACTTAGTAGTTGGGGCCATGGAGGGTACTAGTTAGTGCGGCCATGGTTGGTATAGTAGTTTTTCCATGGGGTACTTAGTATTTGGGGGGCCATGTGGTACTTAGTAGGGGGCCTGAGGGTACTTAGTAGGGGCCAGGGTAAGGCGTACTTAAGTTACTAGGGGGCCATGGGTACTTAGTAGGGGCCATGGACTAGTATGATGGGTACTTAGTAGGGGGCCATAGGGTACTTAGTAATGGTACTTAGTAGGGCCATGGGGTACTTGTAGGGGGCCATGGAAGGTACTTAGTAGGGCCATGGCGGGACTTAGTAGGGGGCCATGGTGGTACTTAGTAGGGGCCATGGGGTACTTAAGTAGGGGGGGGGCCATGGGTACTTAGTAGGGGGCCATGGGGGACTTCCTAGGTGGAGGGGCCATGGGGGACTTAGTAGGGGCCATGGGTACTTAGTAAGGGGGCCATGGGTACTTAGTAGGGGGCCATGGTACTTAGTGGTACTTAGTAGGGCCATGGGTACTTCCTAGGGGCCATGGGGGTACTGGGGTAGGGGCCATGGGGTACTTAGTAGGGCCCATGGGTACTTAGTATGGGTGGGTACTTCCCAGGGACCATGGGGTACTTAGTAGGGGGCCATGGGGTACTTTAGTAGGGTGCCATGTGGTACTTAGTAGGGGGCCATGGGGTACTTAGTAGGGGGCCATGGGGTACTTAGTAGGGGGCCATGGGGTACTTAGTAGGGGGCCATGGGGTAGGGGCCATGGGGTACTAGTAGGGGCCATGGGGTACTTAGTAGGGGCCATGGGGTACTTGGTAGGGGCCATGGGGTACTTACTAGGGGGCCATGGGGTACTTAGTAGGGGGCCATGGGTACTTAGTAGGGGCCATGGGGACTTAGTAGGGGGCCATGGGTACTTAAGGGGGCCATGGGGTACTTAGTGGGGGCCATGGGGTACTTAGTAGGGGGCCATGGGGTACTTCTAGGGGGCCATGGGTACTTCCATAGGGACCATGGGGTACTTGAGTAGCGGGCCATGGCAGGGGTACTTCCTAGGGGGCCATGGGGTACTTACTAGGGGGCCATGGGGTACTTCCTAGGGGGAACCATGGGGGGGTACTTGATTAGGGGGCCATGGAGAGGTACTTACTAGGGGGCATGTCGAGATGAGGTACTTACTAAGGAGGGCCATGGGCGGGTACTGTAGTAAGGGGCCATGGCGGACCGGGAGGACGGTACTTGTTAGGGGGCCATGAGAGGTACTTCTAGGGGGCCATGCGGG